ATGCCAATTCAAAACACATCATCTCAAGACACTTAATAGAGACAAATCAATTAGACCATCCATTTAGCTTGGTTCAAAGTCTTCTAGTCAATGCTTGGTTCAAAGTCAATGCAATCAGCTGGAAAACTAGCCTATTGCATTGACTTATTGACTCGAGAGCATTTCCTCACCCTGCTTGCATGACAGTGGAGAGGAAAAACAAACCTCCAGCAGCACCATGCTCAGCAGGACGGCCTTCTGCTGGTGCAGTCTGGGGGTTCAAAGAGACAGAAGCAAACATACAAAATGAAGATAGAAGCACTGATCCAAGATGGTTTATATGTTAGAAAAGGTAATAGTAAAGTGGTTCATTTAGCCAGTCAAAGTAAAACTGAACCCATAGCTAGGAGAAAAAAAGGACTGAATAATAACAAAAAAAAAAAAAAACAGGCCCAGGTCCATCATCTATAATCTAAGACAGTGGTTCTGAATTCTGGTCCTCAAGTATCACTGCCTTGCATGTTTTAGATGTCAACAGGCAGCAAGTAGAGACCTAAAACACACAGGGCAGTGCTACTTGAGGAGCAGGATTGAGAACCACTGATCTAAGGTGTTGATGGCAGCAGTCCAGCTGATATTTCTCTCTAGGGTATAAAAACTAAACAGGAACAGACAAGATGAACCTACTATGACAAGAAAAGCAGAAGGAGCATGATGTTAGGGTTTACACTATCAAATACTGCAGAATGAGAGAATAGATAGATTGAAGCAGAATGATGAAAGTAGTCCCTATGTCCTCCAGCAGTCTAAGCCTATAGCAGCATAGCTATAGAGATAGCTCAGGATAATGGGAGCCACTCATCAAGCTTTGTCAAAAATGAACATTTAAGCCAAGTCTTAAAAGTAAACAGGGTGTCTGCCTCACAGACTTGGCACCGTTGATGTGTTTAACATGTTGGTAAATGACTGAATGTGGCTGCTCCTGGCAGGTAAATGTGCCGTATCAAAAATTTTAAATAGACTTAAACTGGTAACATGAAACTTAAGGATTTCTCCAAAGCCTCCACAGTCTCCAGATCTCATCCAACAAAGCACATGTAGGATGTTGCAAAAAAAAAAAAAAGGACAATACCATTATTGGTGTGCAGCTAAATTGCTGCAAGTGTAAGAAGTTATTTTAATTTGAATATTTTCAGCATCTTCTTGAATATGTGCCTTAAAGAATTAGAGTAGTTCTGTAGCTAAATGGAATCCAATCTACAGTAACAATAGCAAGGAGTTCCCAATAAAGTGGTCAGTAAGAGTACAGTATTCTTAATCTTAGTCTTTGTTTTGTGAATTTGTGCTGTAATAATAAATTGAATTGAGGGGAATTAAGCATCTAACACAGATGCATTTGTCTGGTTTTTCAGAGTTTGACAGAACAAAATATAACTTGCATCTAAAAAGCTTTGAATATGAAGTAAAGACTTGTATATAGTGCTATTTATGTCATGTTCAATTTATCCTCTTTGCAGTAATGTGCAGCCAACTCAAAACGACTCTAACATCTGTGAGATGATGCATAACATCCAGTGCATTTAGTATCTCACAGTCTTCCTGTAACTGTGAAAGGAGCGCACCAGTGTAGCTTTGTGTTCAGCTGATGACCTTGACAGTCCCAAAGGACATTGGTAGCCTAGAGGCTTGTCTTTCTCCATTTAAACCAGTCTAACAGTTCTTCGTTTGGAAGGGACAGACCTAAAATTGTCAAGGAAGCAAAGCCAGCTGCAATTATAATGCAATTCAGCTCCATTATTTTCACATTTTTCTGTATCTGTGTTGGAAATGAGAAAATATGAAAACTTATGGTTCAGAGGAGTAGTTTGCAAATAAATAATTGATGTAGCGACAGCTATGTTGGGTAGTTTGAGAAGCAATCTGATTTGTTACGGAGTAGAGTTCAGACAAGTGAAGCTAAAGTACAGAGGATAAATACTTAGAAAAGCAGATCAAAGTCATTTCCCAGATGTCAAGCAATTTCCTTAAACATAGAGGAAAAAGAGCTTACATATGACGCGCTAAGTATCTCTAAGGACATGTTGGGAACAGATTCAGAGATCTACTTTTCCTTCTCAGTATTTGTAACGTGTCACTGCTGACTGCTGTCCAGTAAAATCACTTACGATATTCACAGGGATGGTAGAAGCAGCAGATTTCTATCGCTTGCCCTTGTATGCATGAGTTACAGTCTTAACTTGGCATGGCAGCTGACACTTTGCCAGAGTGGATGTGCTGAGAGGTGTATTAGAAGTGATAATGAAGAACACACTTCCACTTGAGAATGAGGCAATTAAAGTGGGGGTGTAAACAGCCGAGGGAGCACCGAGTGTGACTTCCCTCCGGAGGGAATCCTCTAACATCCCTCACACCTGAAAGGTCTGTGGAGGATTCTCACTCGGATGAGGATTCCTGATGACAGTCTGCAATGGAGAGGTGTAAGACAGCATGAGGAGCCGCAACCAATAAGTCCTGCATGTTTTACTTTAAGGACCCAGAAGTAATAATCTTTAAAAGCAATCTTCATTATTAGTTCTGAATGTCTATTAATGATGCAATTTAACATTTGGTTATTTTAACACTCAAATTTAGCGCCATTGTTTGAGCTTTTTCGCTGCAAAGACTCATGTTTGTACAGTCCTCTTTTCAGTCTTTTTCCATGACCTTTCATAAAACTAAAGAGATGGCTCTTCTTTAATGCCTTGTCTTCTTGAACAAGTTTCAAATGTTCTTGTTCTTTATTTAGTCGTGTCATGTACTCTAAGAAGGTTCTCAGTGACTTTGGAAGATAAACTGGCCTACAGCATCACAGAACCTCTATCTTACTTAACCGTCGGTATATACTGATTACCATATATTCAACTTTTGTTTTGCAGGAAATGTATCTTTTTCTCTCTGTAGTTTTTATTAAAGTCCAAGAACTTGCTAACAGTAGGATGCAACTCTTCATTGCAGATCTCCAACTATTAACTTAAATTTTATTTTCTATTTTAACTTAAAAAATAAATCGACTGGGTCTTCATTCACCCTTTTTATAACTTGATCATATTTTAAATTTCAAATCTAATCAGTTTATTTATTTGGTGCCATTTCCCAATTTATCATCTAAAGGTACTTTAGAGACAATTTAATCAAATCATACAGAAAGACTTGTTAAAAGTTTTCTATTTAAGGAAACCCGAGCTGATAGTTCTGAGTCAATGACTTGCAGCATTCACTTCTCCTGGATGAATTTGGATGGAGTTTGGAGAGACCAAGGAGAATCACCATGAATCAGCCTCAAAGCAATTAGGGCAAACTGTCCAGCGCCTCTGAAGGGGAAAGCAGAGTGGGAGGCACTTCTTTTTAGTTATCAGGCTCCACATTTTTCGATTGTATTCTTTAATGCAGACACCCTGCCTACTTTTTAGACTGTACTATTTACTTTTACTTATAGATACAGATTCTAGTTTATATTATAAAGACTGAAAAACATGTGTAATCTTATATTTATACCTCAGCAAAACAGAAAAAGAAAGAATAAGTTAAAATGCTCTAGTTAGATTTATTGCAAGCTGATTTGCTAAATGGTGTCAATATCTGAAGCACCACAGCTCTGTTAAGCTCTGTTAAGAACTACTATTTCCTGACAGAGGAACCACTCACACCAAAAAATAGAAAAATAAAATAAAGAATGGATTTATGGTTAATTCAAATTTTAATTGTTTTTTTTTATTATCATTTTATTATTTTTATTTTTCCTCTATCAAAATTCAGGAGTGCCAATAAATGTAGTGATCTATGAATTACTGAGGCATTAAAAAGCTGTTTAAACTAAAAGAACAAAACAATGTTGTGTTGACACATAACAGACATCTCAGCAAATCTGTTTTAAATGTGAAAAAGCCGTAGTTGAATCTCAAAATTGTCCCTTATCCAATAATCTCTCTATAGATAATTTTTTTTAAATATTCAAAACGCTGAGTTTAAGAAATATAAACACAAAGAAAGCACAACTTTAAAAAGGCACAAATACTCCATTCATATGAGCAGCTTATTTCAATTTTGTGATTTATAATCTGCTCTAACATAATTTGCCTTTTGTTTTTTGTGCCTTAGGGACCAGTGGTCTGCCTGGATGATCTACAGTTACCAATAAACTTCATTTATTATTATTAAAATAATAGCTCAGATGGAAGAATTTCTTGGCATAACACCAGTAAGTAATGTGCTACACAAATTAGATCTTTATGCTAGAGGAAATACTGTTAAATGTTTTAGGAAAAGTCAAAATAACCTTCTCCACAGTTTCCACAGTGCATCTACCAATCAGCAATCATGCAAAACATGTTCTTGTCAGATGAAAGCTAATTATTTTGGCCCAGGGTGAGCCAATAAATTAAAACTAAACATCATATTGGGAACACCTATTGTAATAAAATTGTGGTGAGCATCAAACTTTAGGGATGCATTACTTTGGTGTGGAATCTGCTCAGAGTGGAGGTTTATCTTCCAGCAGGAAAACAAGCAAGCTTTTTAGTTGTATAATAAAAAAATAAAATAAAAAAAAGTATGAATACGTTATTTTTAACATTACTATCTATTTATCTGTTCCACAAATTCCTAAAACTATGTGTTTATTCAAAAATATAAAACATTGCATTGTAATCATTCTGTAAGACAGAGTCTATAAATGTTTCTAAATAATTTTTTAGTTTTAATAAAAGTTTTATTTACATAACATTTTGAACTGCATTTACTGACCTCAAATATACTACAAAAATATAAAATACATTTTAACCTTGTATGGGGTTTTGCTAAGTGTGTTATAGAATAATGGTTTTACATCAGGGTAAACAAGCCCTTTTCTTTGAAAAATTTAGTTAGGATTTGTCTCCATGTTTAACGTCTGTTTTTCTTAGTTCCAAATATGTGCAGAGGTTGATGTTCATTATTATTAATATTATTATTTTTTTATCAGGCAGTGTTTAGACGCGCTGAAGGGGTCCTTTAAATCTGATGGCGTCTTAAGTGAAGATGTGGAGAAGAATTTATTAGACTTTTATTTTTAATTAAATGTTAATACATCTTTACAAATGCGTAGTTCATATTTTAAGCCACAAAATGGCTCAAACTACAAATACACCAAGTTAAAAGGTAAGTTGAGTTTATATTATGAGCTATAAACAAAGCAAATTGCTAACTAGCCTGGTTAGCATCAGCTACCCGCTGGAGACCAAACCGCTTTGAAAATCCCGTCGATTTATTAGATTTATTTGATGAATAAATGTGTTTAATCACTCCAGACCTCATTATAATCTTAATCTAAGTTTATATGTTATTTAAGAAACATTCGGCTCATAGAAATGTGTAATGCGAAAACTATATAATTGGCAAGAATCAGGTGCTGGCGTAATCCTCTTTATGAGCTGCAGGATATGTGTATGTATGATTATATTAGTATATATAAATACACGTGTTTGTGAGTAAAGTTTTTTTTTTCATTTATTTAAAACGGATAAAGCGTACTAAATATTTTATTTCAAAAAGGACTATGTAGAGTTAAGACTATATTTCGACATTTACTATATTTCGACTTACTGTATACATTCCATACAGTAAATAGGATTCATGTAATTAAACTTATTACAAATTTACAGGCTGTAGTGATGCATTTTTTGCAATTTGCTTTTTAAATGTACATCATAGACTTATTCACTTTTATTCATTTGATTCTATAATAAAACTTATTAAAGGGGGTCTGTTCAAATAAACTTAAAAGTTTATTACAGTTTTTTCTCTTTGTAGACTAGCTTCATCCTTAAGCATATATAGCTAATCTACATTTTATGTTCATAGCATATGAAAGCATGAATTAATAAAACAATAAACAACGTCTGTACAATACAGACTGGTTAACTGCAGAACTGGTTTCTTGTGGAGTTTCTTTTTTTTCTAGGAATAAAATGAACATGATTGCCCTTTGGAACTGAATTTTTACTATGGTCAAACTTATTTCAGGTTTGTCCTGATTACAGTAACAGTAAGTATCGATATCTAAGGTTAAGCATCTCCTTTCAAGCTTCTCCTTCGTCTGTAAATTGTCAGACCCTCAGACATAACTTCTCCAGCTAATTCAGACGTTTCTGGTGTGATTCAGGTCAGATCAGCCCAGCTGTCATCAGTAAGTTTTAATTGACATGTGTCCATAAATTTGAATGATCCCAGGGTTCCCTTTCACCTTCACATCCTGCTGATTTTGGACTGTCGGATAAAAACAAAGAAATAGGCAAATTTGTCACATGCTCTTTAACTCCCAGATGCTATGGCAGTTTTTGCTTATGAAAATAGACAAATAGAATCAGTGATTTTCAAAGAAATGATTCCCAGTACAGTAAATGTGGATGCCCTTTTTTTTTTCTGTTTCAGTCATTCTGTTGTTTAATGACTTGCTTTTTTTATTGTCTTATTTTGCTTTTAGCTTCAGCAGACTCGGCTGGATCAGCCATGTCCCTGAAGCCCCAGAAAAATGCCCAAACTACACATTATATTGAGCTTGGAGGTTACCAGTACTGGCCTGTACTGGTGCCCAGAGGCATCAGACTGTACACATATGAACAGATCCCAGTATTTCTTAGAGATAATCCATACATCACCGATGGATACAGAGCCTACCTGCCTTCCAGGCTTTGCATTAAAAGGTGAGATGCTAAAATATTTTCAGTCTTATTGCCTAAAGTTGCTCCAGTTGCAGAAACAAAGACAAAAGGGATGATATTTTAAATTCATACATGTGGAAGCAACAAAGTACGACATTTTTTATCGATCTGATGTCTGTGCAGCCTCTTCATCCTGTCCAATGAGACGGTAAATATCTGGAGCCATCTGTTGGGATTCCTGCTCTTCTTCTGTGTTGGGGTGTACAACATGGTGTCGGTGCTGCCATCCATCGGAGCATCGCGAGAGGATTATGTCATATACTCCATCGGGTTGTTCTGCTTCCAGGTATGAGCCGGATTTAGATCTTCAACAACAGATGGATTGTAAAATGAGCAATCTTTCTTAAATCATAACAAGCTGGCTGCATTGATACATATCATGCCAGACTTTTCCTTGTACTGTTTATTTCTAAACCATAATGGCAGATTAACTCGGTAACCGACCAACTTCTTTGAGGATTTGCAGCGTTGTTTTTTTTTTTATAGGCCGCATATGATGAAATGTAGCGCGAAATTGAAAAAAAAAAACAGATTTATGCAGGGTGTTTATAAAGCCTGATTCATACTAAATAGATCAAATAATGCTGCTTCTTTTAGTGGGGATAAAGACTGTCCAGGAAAGGAGAGGAGAAAAAAGATGTATTAAATGAAGGAAATACAGACTAGGGCTGGTTAATTAATTGCATTTGCAATATAATCGCAATATAACAAAACAAAATTTTCAAATCATATACGTACTTAAAAGTATAGCGGAGGATGTTTTTTTCCTGGCAGGATCATGTAAGTAAGTGGTCCTCCTAATTGTCAGTCATTCTGGTAATATGTATGTTTACATAAGGCCGTCCTACTTGCTTGTCCCCATTTTCACTGAGAGATGCAAACAGCAACTTTTAAACAGAGCGTGCACAAGGAGAAATAGGCTAGTGCAGGCTCTCTCACACACCCTGTACCTGTTCCCTCTCGGGAGTGGGTACAGGGATATGCATATCCATTTTTTTTTAAGTGGAGAGGGCGGGTCTTTTCAAAAATTCACGAAAATCCTCCACTAGACCTTTAATTTTGGTCACATTACAAATAAATAGTGTTAGACATTGTAGCTCCAACTCCAGACCTGTAGGTGGCAGTAGGTGGCACCTAAAGTGGGTTTTGTTACCACACAGAGGAACAGAACGTTGAAGCTAGTACGCATATAGAAGTAATCACTTTTTCACTCTGAGTTACAGTTAAGTTTTGGAATGAAGGACTGTTTAAACGTGATCAAAAAACTGAAACACTTAAATTAAACATCTACATGTTTTTGGTTAGAGCAGCACAAAATTGAAGTAAATCGTGAGCACTTCGTTTGTCATGATATAGGCTAGTTTTAGCCACACACGCTAATTTCCACCTTGTTTTTTTTCGTATCCCAGTAAATAGAGATAAACCAATTACGGTATCTGATTTTCAAACTTGTTTTTGTTGAGGGCTCATATCCCCATTCTGATTTATTTCCAAACTGTACTGATTTTTATTGTTGTTTTAACTCGACAAATAAATGCACGACTGACTTAAGACATATGTATTTCCTACAGGCTCCTTCATTTTGGCTCTAGGTATAATTTTTACTAAAAAAAACCCCTACTTTATCCCCATTTCTAGATCAGAATGTATGTCCATTAGAGATGGAACGGTTTATGAAAACCGTCCGAACCGTTCGGTTTGACTGTCTCAGTTCGGTTCGCGTGTGTTGTGTTCGGTTCATGCGCTGCTCCTTTTTCTCATAGGCGAAGCGTTTACACTCCAGAGCAGAAGGTGGCGGTACTGCCACCAAAGCCAACCACCAGTAGTAAACAAGAAGAAGAAGAAGTGAAGCAGCGTAGCCGGGTGTAGCAGAAAAAATTAGTTGTTGTGGAGAATTGTGTGGGTATGGCGAGTGGGAAAGAACAGGTGTTGGAAGACGCGCCAGCAGCACTTTATAGGTCTGCTGTATGGGACCGCTTTGCATTTAGAGTGACCTACGATGACGGCGGAAAGAAAGTTGTGGATAAAAGTGCAACAGTGTGCAAGCATTGTGCAACACGTTTTGTATATGCTAACAGCAACATGACCAACATGTCATGCTAACCCCGAAATCCCACATACTCCGTCAGCGCTCCGCCCCGCTGCGCTCCAGACCGGCTGCTCAAAGCAAAGCCTACAGCCTCCGCTGTGGCTCCCGTCCACTCCGCTCTGAGTTCCTTGGAGATGGTAGAGAGCATGCGCGAGATGATTAAATTCAAAGCAGCAAAACATGCGGAAATGATCCAGGGTTTCCGCGGATCATTAAAAATTATTACAATTCATTAATTTTTTTGGATTTTTTCATTAATTTTTATGGGATTTCGGTGTAACAATCAACATATACCGAACCGAAAACCGTGACCACGAAACCGTGAACCGAACCGTGGATTTTGTAAACTGTTCCACCCCTAATGTCCATAACCTTTTGTTAGTTTTAGTAAATATAGAAGAAATTATGATTGTTTGTTGAAGAGTTTGCATTCCTCAAATCCTCTGTGTTTGACTTGATTAAACAGAAACAAATGATCAGACAGTTGATTGGAGCATCGCCACTAATAATCCTGATCATATCAAATTATTACTTAGTTTCTGACCCTCGCACCGCTGCTTCTACCTGAACTGAAGCTGTAGTGATGTCTGTGATGTACTTGAGGTGGGAAGATGAAAAAAAAAAAAAAGGTCCAAAAAGTTAAACCTCTGTTTCATTTTTTCCAGCTCAGTTATCACAATATGATGATTTGGGATGAGCCAAATATCATTCACCGGAACTGCTGTTGCCTTAATCCGAGCGATTATGGAACAAACATTAGACCTCAGTGCAAAATTCTTCTGGATGTTCTTAGCAAATTAAACTGAATCTGAGTCTGCAAATCTGCCTGAAACAAAGCTAGTCTGGATAATGAAATGTGTCTTTGAGGCTTTAATTCCTGATGGAGCGTTTCAATCCTCAGCTGTGTATGCTTTGCTCCGTGGGCTACCACCTGTTCTGCTGCCACCGCTCGGAGAAGACCAGCCGCCGCTGGATGGCGCTGGATTACGCTGGCGTTTCAATCGGCATCCTGGGATGCTACGTTCCAGGAGTCTTTTACACGTTCTACTGTAATAATGTGAGTTCCTTCATATTTAGTTCTTATTTCTAATAGCTGTGATGCTTGCTTCAGTCTGATGTGATGATAAATCTAACCTTATCTTAAGGAAATATTTGGGTTCTTTAGGTGATCTGACCTGGTGTTGATCATTCATGCTCTATGAAGCTGATTAAGAAAAAGGGTTTAATGCTACAGGAGCAGCAGAGTTAAACCGTATTATTAAAGTACTGCTGGAAACTAAAGTGAATGTTATTTAAATGTTACTGGGGGAGAAACGAGTACAAAACCTTTATAAATGATCAACTCTGATGTCATCTGATGCTTTAAAGTCATAGGGAAGTCATTTAAATGTCAAATCATTCTAGCTTAAACATGTAAATTGAAAAAAAGACAAAATCTAGATAAGTCATTTTTTCTTGGATTGAGGAAGTAAAAGAGACATTTTGCCAGTGAAACAAGCCAATTTACACCTAAAATAAGAAAACACAATTGCATTGTCCTATTTCAAGTGCATATTATCTAATTATCTTATTTTAACAGTAAAAATACTCTAAAAAATGACAAATACACTAAATTTAAGACATTTTTATTTATTTCTAGATCGTTTTTCAAGTGTATATAAATTTGCTGTTTATCAGATGATATCGTCCCAAAATTTAGAAAATTTTATTTAAAAAAAAATGTGTTTGTTTTCTTCGTTATCTTATGCAGGCCAGTTAGTTATACGTCAGCTTGTACACCTAAATTCGACCAATCATATATCAACGGTCATCTGTCAATCAAATTTTTTCGTCCATAACGTCTTGATTCATATGTCACAGCTTATATACGCAACGGTTGAAACAAGAAATAAGGATAATTTAGTTTCCCATTGAGTTCCGTCCCAGTGTTCACGGGGATGGACGTCTGTGTCTTCGGCAGGCGTAGAGCTAACAGAACTGCCAGCGTTGTGAGGCAAGGGCTCAAACATGTACGGCTGTAAGCCTTCTACACCAAACCAAGCTTCTGCCGCCCTGGCGTCCTCTTCCGCATCTTCATCCCCGCTTTCCTCCTCTAAATTAAAAATGTATGATAGAGGAGACTCATCCACAGCCGGCAGCACTAAACTCTCCTCCTCTTGCATGTTTCCTCTGTCCATAGCGTTCCTTGACAGTGTTGTTTCTAAGTCACCAATTTAGTGCTACTTGGTCCCAATGGAATTTCCCATTGGAAACCTACTAGCACTAAGTTTCTAACTGGTTAGCAAGATGCTTCTGACAAACGGGCCACAATCAAACTTGCTTGTGAACCTTCCGCCACAACAACCCTGCCCCCTTGACAAATGACCAAACACGTCCACTTTATTCACTTGTGTAAAATCGTGCACCACTCGGGAGAATTTGGAAATGCAACGGTTGGAACAGCTGCTCCCTATGACTTTAATTCATCCCTGATATGCGTTCAAAGTCAACTGAGGTCATTAACGTGCCTGATTAAGTCTTTTCCTTCCTGGAGCCCTGATCGTTTACTGGTGACTCGGAGGCCCTGGATTAGACCTAGAACCCTCTGGAAAGACTGCTCTTCTCTTCTGAATGGAGAGAACCAATGAGTTCCCCAAAAAGAGCAAGAAAGTGTTGCTGATGAGAGAGCTGCCTCTGAAAAACAATGGATGCCGAGAAGCCTGGTTATAAGACCCTCAGTATTTCAAGCACTGAGGTTCTGCTGAGATTATATAAAGCAGCTGAGGTCTGGAAAAGCCGGAATGCTCCTGACTAAAAAAGCTCTTTGTGGAGGTTTTTGTGACTCTACCTTTTCTTGGTCTGAATAAAACAGAATGGGATAATCAGGTAGTTAAAGGAAGCATCTGTTTCTGATGTGAAGTGTTTTTCAGATTCCCATTAAGAAGCAGGTCTGGTTGTGAGCGAGCGGAGCGGCCTGGGGAGCAGTAATTGAATAGAGCGAGCGCCTCAGTCTGGCTCCGCTCATTGACTCATTGTTCCCGGTGAATAAGCAACACAACACCTTCTCCGCTCTCATGCGTTCGGAAAAAAGCCTCCGATGACACAAGCCGCTTCCAGCCGCCCACCACCACCGTTTGATTTTATTTTATTTTTTATCCCTGAAAGGTTTGGCTCCGCTCGCTTTCCCCCGCATATTGGAAGCGCCGGGTTATTTTGCCCCCAGAACTCGGCTGAAATCTGCTGCAGACTAAACCAGATGGCTGTGTTCACGGAGTGGTCCGTCACTCCTGTTCCTCACCATATGACGCTCGCAAGTCCAGGAGCACCCCCCCCTACACACACTCCTTCCCTCCCGCCTCCTCCTTCGTCCACGCCAAGACGGAGGCTTTGCTTCTGGGTGGCTCCACTCCAGTGGCAAGCCAAGTCCCTGAAGAAAAACAGATTTTTATATTTAGCCAGTCAAACTCTTGTCTCGTCCGAGTCTTTTGAGGGACGCAGATTTGGAGAAGATAGGAGTCTGTGAGGAGGAGGGCCTGAGAGGAAAATTGGCTGCGTCCGAGCCGGGGGCCTTGTTCCGGGTGCAAATTTATTCACTGTGAAATTCAGCAGGACTCGTCGCACGAGGACGTGTGACTGGACGGAGGCCTGCATCCACACACGCGGACAGAAGGGACCGAGCCGAGGCTGTCCAGACTTTCAGCGGCTACTTATAGAAGTTTAAATAGCAAGCACAGATCCGAGGACGGGTTCGCCGCATATCTGTGATAACGGCTGAAACAGTGGGAGAGCTTTCTTAACACTAGGAAAAAAAGAAACGCAGCCAAGATGAAGGACTACTCAGGCTTAGATTTTATTCTCTTAGCTTCTCTCTGTTTGCTCCAAAAGGGATTCTGAATTGATGCTGGTGAAAATCTTTTTCATTAACAAATAAGTGAATCACTTTTTCCTTTAAAGCATCGTCCAGTTTAAAAGGGGTGAGAGATACTTTCAATTTAAGACATGGTGATGTTCTTTACTGAAGAGGATTAGGGCCACTGAAAAAAAAAAAAAGCTAACTGATTTTAAAATTTTATTTCAGTTAAACATGGGAATTCTGACTTTTTTCTCAGAATTCTGACTTTAATCTCAGAATTCTGACTGAATTCTGACAATAAAAAATGTCAGAATTCCGAGAAAAAAGTCAGAATTCTGACTTTTTTCTCATGTTTAACTGAAATTAAAAAAAAAAAAAAATCAGTTAACTTTTTTTTTTTTCAGTGGCCCTAATCCTCCTAATCCGTAGTTCTTTAAGCAGCTAAAGTTTCTTAAAAAAAACTTGGAACATTTTTCTCTTTTGCTTCTCCATTCATTTTAAGTGTAATTTATATGTCAGAGCGGAATAGTGAACGATGGTGACATAATATGCTTTCGAATTCTTTTTAACAAATTTTTAAAAATCAGGAATTGTCTAAGTTAGTTTTTAGTCAAATTAATCTAAAAAAGAAACAAGCCCTAATTTTTAGTTTGAGTTTAGGGGAGGTGTTCAGTGCAGACGCGAGGGTCTAAGTGTGTGTGTTGTCTTGGTTTCAGTACTGGCGGCAGGTGTACCTGGTGACGGTCCTGGCCATGATCCTGGCCGTCTTCTTCGCTCAGATCCACCCTCTCTACCTCAGCAAGCAGTGGAAGCAGCTGCGCTCGCTCATCTTCTGCTCTGTAGCGGGGTACGGCCTCGTCCCGACTGTTCACTGGATCTGGATTACCGGAGGCTTCTCCTCCGAGCTCGTACAGGTACGCCTTTTAGGTTTTAATATCCCTTTCTGTCCTAACTTGTTGACTTTAGTTTTTAACTCCTTATTTTTACTTTTCAGGCTTTTGTTCCACGCATCCTTGGGATGTACTTCATTGCGGCTTTAGCTCTTGTTTTCCATGTTTCTAAGGTTCCTGAGCGTTACTTCCCTGGTAAGCAGATACCATTAGGATTATCTCTGTGACTCCTCTGTTGTTAAATTTTTTTTCTCCCTGTGCTGCTTCAGGTCAGCTGAACTATCTGGGCTCCAGCCACCAGGTGTGGCACCTTCTGCTGGTTCTGATGTTCTACTGGTGGCACCAGTCTTCAGGCTTCATCATGGCCTACAGACACAGCCAGCCCTGTGCCAGTGCTCCACAGCACACGTAGCTGACTCCTCTACACAGCAGGACCCGACCCTCTGCATGTAAGAACTGCTGGGTGTCGTTTTTTTTATGTTGGAGATTTAGGAAGGATGGAAGGAGGAAAAAAGTTTTTTAAAGTTTCTGAAATGAAGCAGAAGCTTCCGAGGTGGTTTAACATGAGAAGAAATGTTGGATTTTAAAAAAGAACAGGGAAATACATTTATTTATCAAGTTGATACACATTTCTATGTATTTCTCCTGCATATATTTCTTAACTCATCCATCTGTTTATTTGTATGTTAATCGGTTTATCATCTGACTCCATTCATTTTTATTCCTCCTGCGATCATCATTCTTCACTGATTATCCACCTCCATCCTTTTCTATTCATCCCTTTGTCTGGATTTTTCCGCTCTTTCTTGCAGTTTGATGTTTTTGCAGCTTCCATGATGTAAGATTTATGAAATGTCTGCATCACATCTACTAAAATTTTTTATTTAAAATGGCCTAAAAGGGATTTAAAACCATGTCTGCAGAAATTGTTGACAGAAAATTTGTGAGAACCTTTTATTTTTCTTTAGAAAGGTTTGATTTGCAAATAGTCTCTCTACTATGTAGGAGGCTGAGTCTGAGCATTTGTCTTTTAGAGTTCAGATGTTTGATTTTCTTCATTTTGGACACTGCAGGACAGCGGTCCAGTCGAATCTGCAGACCTGAGCCGCTACAGGATGTGTTGGGACAAGTCTCACTCAGGATCAGTCATTAAAAGGACGTTAATGTCAGAAGGTCACCTCCAGAAACCCGTTCTGAGTCCAGGCAAGCAGCCATGTCACCCACCTGGTCATCAGGTCTTTAACATTCTTCCAAGTGCCTGAAAATGATGTAGCTCCTTGGCTCAGTCCTGTATATTTAGACGTTTCAATGTCCCGTCATTGAGCTGAATTTGAACCACTTAGTCACAGAAAGTGACCATCAGTCAATAATGTTACAGGAATGAACCCAAAGATTGTTTTTATTCAACATGTTAGTAACCAGATGTCTGTGTTGTTTGGGGGAGAAGGGGCGAAATGTTTAAGTAATAAACGATTCAGAGCTGCAGATAAAGTTTGGGGAGAAATTCCTCCCCCTTTAGTGAACTAGATCAGATTTAAAGGAAATAATGAGCAGCTCTGCCTCTAGAGGGCACTACTGAGACACTCCAGGGGTTTTAGTGGCAGTATTCACTTTCCTCTATTTCATGTTTGTATTTTTTGATCCTTTATTGGGCTCATATGGGAGACCTTCTTCCTCCCCCTGAGTTAATGGGAGAAGCTCTCACTGTGGATAGAAACAGTGTTTTATATGTAAACAACTAAGGTATGATGTTCTAGGTACTATGTTCTAGTTCAGGGGTCTGCAGCTCTTTGGAGCTTCCAAAGATTTTACATATAGACTAAATAACTGCTTATTTAGGGTTTGAATTAATTCAATTTTTTTTACCACATAATGACAGTATTAGTAATATAAATTTTGGTCTTCAGGTTTATCTAAATTTTTTTAATCAAAACGTCCCATAGAAGAAAATGTAAATCCACATGATTGGCAAAATTCATGTTTTCTTTCTTGAATTTAATGCTGTAAAATAAAATGGGACTGTTCTCTATAGTGGATTTGAATCAAAAATTTAGTTATCATTTAAGGAAGGTAGCAGTTCTGAAGTTTTGTGTGTTCTGGTTTGAATCCCACAGACTGCCTCCCTGTGGCCCAGCCCACCTTATATGTAAAGTTGCATTGACAAAGATAATTATGGAATGGCTCTCTGGATTGCAAAGGTTGCAGACCTCTGATACGCCTCCTTTAGGGTGATGTGCAATGTCTCTGTTTTCTCATATGAACTGACTTCATTCCAGAATGCAGCGCCTCCATGTTAGCTTTGGCTCCAGAGGCTGAGTGGGAGCTGATCGGCTCTGCTAACGGTCTGAGATTCTGAGGAATCCATTTTCTTCTCTCTAGCAAAATGGGATTTTAAATGATTGTTTATTTTTCAACATCCAGTTTTAGGTTTAAGTGAAAATAATCCTATTTTAGTCAATCACATATAGAAATATTTTAGCCAAATTGTCCCCCTGATAATGAACATCTTTGTCTTCAAACACAGCAGATCTTTAAACCAGCTTTTTATGGCATTTTAGGTGCTGTTTAGAATCTGCTTTTTTGCAGCTTTAATTTAGATAATAAAAACCCACCACTGTCTTTTTTTTTTTTTTGGTTTTAATATAGAAGAGCAGCTCCTTCAATGTTTGTCTTTTGGGTCTCAGCTGAGCCCGACTGATCACGAGTCTCTCATCATTAAACAATAATGGAGTTAAAAAGATAAAAATGCAGGCTGGTTTTGGAATGAAAGGTTTCTGTTTTATAGTCAAATTTCTGATACTGTTTGTATTTAAATTATTAATGGTCTTCAAACTGTAAAAATGTATCTGTAAAAATCTTTTCTTATCTGCTGTTTGTAAAATGACTCATTTTGATGCTCAAGTTTTTGTCTTTTTCTTCTCATGACACTATTTAAAAATCCAAAAAAACATGACTAATAAAAGTAAAGCTGTGTAGCTAAACTTGTTTATAAGCCTGCTGTTTTTATATTAAGTTTCACATTACTCATTTTCTAATAATCCCAATAAAAGGGGACTATTTATTCATTTGCATTTGGCCAGAAGTGCTTAACAGGATGCAGCTTTGTGTTTTTATTTCTTTTTTTTTTTTTCTTCAAACACAACTTGAGTTCATACAAAAAAAAAAAAAAAACCTCAGCAGAAGTTTTTCTGCTACAGTTAGCCTAAAAATTAATGGCATCAAACAAAAGCTTCAAATGTTTTAAGATAAAAACGAATTCCCTTCTAGTGAAATGTAGCTTGGCCACGCCCACGTTTGGCTGCAGGGAAAGGATGCATAGATAAAAACCCACAGAGGACGAGACAAAGTGGTTAAAAGCTGCTTTCAAACCATGCGGCAGAACTGTTGTTCTCCGAGGTGCTAAGGTAAGGCTTCCTGGTGCTTAAATCTATCAGAAGGCAGATTAAAAAGAGCTTTTAGCAGTCAAGTATAGGCGTTATGATCACAGTACGATTTCTCTCTTCAAAAAGTCCTAAAAGCGTTAAGATGCAGCATAAAGGCAGAAACACTCCACAGGATTCAGGCTTTCTTATTAGAAAAAGTGGTTAAAAATGATCCCAAACCAAAAGGGCTCAGGGTTAACTGCTACTGGCAGAGCGGGAAGACGCATTAGCTACTGCTTGGAGGGAAACGGCGCCGCCCCAAAAGGGTCGAGGTCCAGCGGCTGCGAAGGCGCCGCGGGCTGCTGCGGTCCACTGTGAATCACCAGTTCTGTGAAGGGCACCGCCCCGAAATCATCCATGCTCCTGCTTTCGCCGCCACTCCATGACTTCCCGTTAGCGGTGCTCATGTCACCCCTGGCGTCGCTGAGCTGGGGGTACTGGCCGAGGCGGCTGCTGTCTGGAGGGTGGAACGGTTTGGCCCCAAAGAGGTCCAACAGAGCATCGTCCACCGGCAGAGGCGCTGCTTTGTCTTTCCCTTCAGCCATGCTGATGTCCACGCTGATGTTCTCCTTGGAGTCGGAGGTACTCAGGAACTCGTTGCTGCTCTGAGAATCTCTGCGGCCCACCTTCTTGTGCCTGCGGACCCTCTCTGGGGTGCGGTAGGTCGGCTTGTTGCCCTTCCGTCCTCCGGTCGGGGTGCTGTGATGCCGCTTGCCGTTGCCACCCCCCGCCGTCGCCTCCTGCTTGGTTTTTCTCTGGCGTGATGACAGCTTCTGCAGACTGCGTTGCTTCTGCCTCTGCAGGTTTGCCGAATCCTCAAATGGCAACTCGAAGATGTCCTCTGCGCTCCTGGAGGTGGTGGGAGGAGGCTCTGAGGGGCCCGGCTGAAAAGGCGAGAAGCCGAAGACGTCGGTACCTTCGGGAGATACCGGCGGCGTTTGTCCCATGGTGACATCGCTGCCGCTCCTTCCCGACTTGGAAACATTCCGACTGAACGGGGCTTTGGTAAAAACATCAAAATCGTCGGCGGCCGGGTCTTCCTGACTGACCTGCCTGAAAGGTGCTTTAGTGAAGATATCAGTGATCTCTGAGGGGCTCGCTGGTGAAGCTCCTCTGACAAAAGGGATGGCACCAAAAACGTCAGTGTTTCTGGCTCCACTGGGCGACACTGGAGGGGTGACCAGACTGGTCCTAGACCCCCCTAGTGGACTCCTGGAAGCACTGGGATCGGCTACTTTAGCGGCTGCAGGTTTCTTTGAGCGGATTTTAACCTTGTTGGCATCACAGTCTGAATCTGAGCTGTGTTTGTCCTCGTCCTCCTCTTCCTCAGAGTCCATCAGCAGAGGCCTCTGTCCAAGGTTCTCTGGCTCTGTGTCTTCACCGTGTTCACTGTTCAAGGCCTCCTCTTCCTCCTGCTCTTCATCCTCACTGCTCTTAGGCGAAGGCGGGTCAGACTCGAAGTCGCTGTCGGACTCATCTGCAGGTTTACAGCTGTTCTTCTTTCCTGGTTTGGACTCCTTGACTGAGTGCGGGTCCTTGATGGGAGCTGGGATGTTGGAGACGACCTCCACAGGCTGCTCACTGCTCATCACTGCAGGTCCTACAGGGAAAAAACAAACAAACCATAAAATCCTGCATCTCCGTTTATCCCAGACCCAGAGGCCTAAACGAAACATTTAAAAGTTAGTTGATTTTAGTTCAGAGGTGAAGACCATACTCGGGTGTAAAACAAGATCACGTTGATTTTCTTCAACATTTAAGGGGAGGCCAGCTTTCTGGTTAATCAAGCACACAATGCAAATATCTGTCGTTTTATCCATCTATACCATTCATTTTCCATCAGACTTTATCCCAGCTGGGGTCATGACGGGGGTGCTGGTGCCTATCGCCAGCTGTCTAGGGGCGAGAGGTGGGGTACACCCTGGACAGGTCGACAGTCCATCGCAGGGCAACACAGAGACAAACAGGACAACAACCAGAGGAGACTTTAGAGAAGCCAATGAACCTAAAAGTCATGGTTTTGGACTGTGGGAGGAAGCCGGAGTACCCGGAGAGAACCCACACATGCACAGGGAGAACCCTCCCATGTGGGGAGAACATGCAAACTCCATGTAGAAAGACCCCGGGAATTGAACCCAGAGTATTGTTGCTGCAAGGCAACAGTGTTCCCCACTGCCTCACCGTGCAGCTCGGAAACTTTGAGATGTAATATTTTAAATTGTACTTCTGCTTGTCTATTATTCTTGTCAGTAATAAAAGATCAGTCAATCATTGTCTCTGCACCATTTACTGGGATGTTGATTGAAAGATTAACTAGAATTTAAAACTATCTTTTCCTCCAAGTACGATGAGCTTTAAAAGCTCATCTAGCCTCTTATCCTGTTTGCATAAGGACAAAAACACAGCAACATCGGATTTTCTGGGCTACAGAATTATATTTCTTTTGTTGCTTTTGATTATTTTTGCCAACACAGACCTATGAAGCAAGTGGTACTTGATAAATGCAAAAAGAGGGACGTGTTGAAGGCAGAGTTACAGCAAATTCATCATTTGAATTGCTGCAGCATCTCTTTAAATAGTCAATTTATTGTATTGCTGATGGAATTGTGTACAGTATTTGAAATATAACCTAACAAGCAGAAATAAGGGTAACAAGTTGATGGAAAAGATTAAAGCCATTTTTCTTTCTTAGATACACTGCTTGTTTCTAATCCAAACTGTATGAGAATGTGGGGATCGGGTCTGCGCCAGGAATCAAACCCAGAACTCTATTGCTGCAAGGCAGCAGTGCTACCCACCGCTCCACTAAGCAGCCAAAAGCCAGCTGCTGTCTGATTTAACAGCAGCCAAATCCAGAGCAAAAGTCCTTTCTTCTAAAGAAAGGATTTCAGAGACCTGAACAGTTATTTTCCTCCTGGGCCCTGGGGAGATGTTTCTGAGACTTTTTCCTTCCACTAAATGTTCCAGTAATACAATAAACAGCCAGCTGGGACCTACTACCCTACCCTACTAATGATCATCTTCAGAACATTTCAAAAGACTGATGTGATTTTTTTTTTAGCATTCCATTAACTCCATATTCATTAGAACAAAAACACCTCAAATAAATCAGAAAGCGATAGATCTAGACACGCTGACTTATGAGGAGAACAAAGATCTTTTTGTTTCCTTGTGACACTAGCCTGACCTCCCTAATATGCAGCTTTAGTGGACTAAGGATTACTTGACTTTGAAATGATTAGCGCACAAACGGCGACAGTTTGACTCACGTTGAAGCAGCAGAGGAGCAATATGGTGGAAAAGCTGCTGTGACTCTGACCGCGCAGTGAGATGAACAAGCTTAAAGGCCGAAGGAATAAGATGCTGAGCCTTTTCTAAGATTGACAAAATTACTTTTCACATCAAATCTCCCAGAAAAGATTGACTCTTTAAGTCGGAAAACCTGAAGCCAAAACATTCCTTTAATTCCAGCATTTAATGAAACAAGGAAAAAAAAAAGAAAAGAACCTTTGTGTGATTTATGTCCAAGACATTTGCATAATGGCAACTAAAAAATTAGCCTAATTAGCGAGTGGAGAGCCTCCAATTGTAGGGAAAGTAAACGCTGCCACAGCGGAGACGCCAAATGATTGTTCCTTATTAGAGGAAGCTCTAAATCAGACGACCCCCCGCTGCGAACATGGAAAAATGGAAAGCTCTCCCCTTCTTTATCCAAACTGGCAGGACGAGGTCCAGAATAGCAGGATATTAGGAAGAGTCGTGCATCTGTTCAGCTCACAGGACCGGTCACAGATTAGAACTTTAATCATGTTCACCTCACCGAGGCTGCAAATGGAAACATCTTTAATCGCACGGAGATGTCAGCCGGACGCAGATTGTGTTCCTGTGGAAATAAGCTTGCAGGATTACGAGCCGCGCTGCCGCTTTAAGAGAAACAAATAAGTGGTGAAAATGCGATTGTTCTCTTGTGGGAATAAAGAGGAAAATCTGGTGCAGAGCTTAAAAAAACACCCTGGTGGAGTCAAATGTTAGAAATATTCACGTTAAATCGTTTTTGGATGGAACAACTTTAAATGGATTTATGGCGATTTGTTTTGATCACTGCATGTTTAAACAATAATTAGAAATGTCGACATCTGAATAAATATGGTTTTAAAAAGAGGATGTTAAACTACTTCCGCATTTTGTCCAAAAACTATGAGAATAAATCTCAAAATCTTCTGAAAATAGATTTGGTATTAATAATAAATAAAAAAAACTGAAACTGCAAATCAACCATTTTAGAGTCAGGGCCTAAAACTGGGTCTGGTATTAAGCTATGGTGGAAATAAAGTTAGATAAGTTATCATATATAATAAATAATCTGTATTTAGTCATTCTCAGATACGCTGATGACAGTCAGGAAGCAAAAAAGTGGTGAAATGTTCTTTTACTTTAACACCTTGACATTAACTCAGAATCTTTTTTTTTTTTTTACTGAATTTCTGACAAGCATAAACAATAAAGCTAAAGAATATAAATGTTGAAATCTTATAATTATATATATTACAGATGTTAAAAGTTAGTCTAATGCTACTTAAAAACCTGAGTTGTTTGGAAATTTGCAGGAAACGTTGTTTTCTCTTTAAACTGGACAATTGAAACTGTAAATCTAAATATTTTTCCTCTAACATAAGGATTTAAATTTAAAATGTAAACAAATGATGTCAAACACTTCCTCTAAAAATAATGTGCACCAGCATCTGATGCTGTAAACATGTAAAGATGTTTGCTGAGGTCAGCGATCACCTTTAACTTTTTATTCCTGTCATGGTTTCACTTTAAACTTTAAACCGCTTTGAAGAATTCATTTCAAATTCAAAGTTATCCTTTTATCCTCTACTTGCCGGCTGCCCTGCTGAATTATATACCTACCACCAGGAGGCAGCATAGAGTTAGTTTGGTTTGATCAAGGGTCAGAAGGATCTGCCAAAAAACTTAAACCGGATGCAAGACTAGTTTTTAGCACTGGAGGACAAACTGATGCTCAAGATAAGTTTGCATGTTTACAATTTTAGTTTTCAAAAAAAAAACAAAAAAAAAAAACATTTTAATTAAAATCTGAAATCTTCCTGTGTACTAGCAAAAGAACCAGATGTGAGCAGGAAGCGACATTTTAGTGTTGATTAGGATGATTTTCTTTCTGATCGATAAAAGAAAACACAGGGAAACTCTGGAAATCGATACCAATAGTTTAGGAAATCCTGATTAAATGATTTTCAGAAATAGTTGCTGCTAAAAAACAGTTTGGGTTTTTAGGTCGGTAAGATAATGATGTAGAATCAGAGTTTTTTTCACCCCTGGCAGTATCACCATGTTTCACTGTGTGTAAAAAGGTTCTCATGGTTTATTTAAGTACAGTCTGTAAACTAAACAATCCTTTTTTAATTAAAAAAATAAAGTTTTTGGACCTCTGATCATTTCTCTATAAATGCAAAGTCCCTTTTGTTGTTTAATATTGACAATATTTACATGTTAAACTCTTCTAATAACAGGACTACTGTTCTCTCATAAAGATAAACACTTTAAGTCTCTTTTAATCCAGTCTTTAAATCCGATTTACCTGCTGAGGAGGAAATCGAAGGGTTTGACCCCCAACCCTAAGTAGATGTGGTTGAAATGTGTCAGAAAAGCTGGTAGTGAACTGGGAACCTCTGAAGGTTCAGGGCCCTACAGCAGATCGGTGGACTGGTTCTGTTCTAGTCCATCATTGTGGGAATGAAACCGACGACCTGTTTGATTCACAGCTTTCTGCCCTCAGCTAATAAGGGCTGGGCTGCTTTTAAGGTTATGGACTTTAACACATTTCATGTTTGATCCACTTATAGCTGATTGATTGATTCTAAACTACAGGGTCACATCATTTTCTGCACTTTAAGGTCAAATCATTTCCATCCTGCTCAAAAATAAAGCACTATTCACTATTAAAACCAGAGATAATAAATTATCTGCAACTAATTAAAAAAACTTTAATCACGTTATTTTATTAGAAGTCACTGTCGGTAGAAGAAGGTGTCGTTTTTGATAAATTGCCATTATTAAATTTATATTGATTTATAAAGTGTCCCCCAAATGACACTGAAATACTTTAATCTTCACCTGATTTTAGTTTTTTCCCTTTTTCCCTCATCATTTTATACTTTAGCAGGTTTATTTAGGTTATGGATGACTTTTCCCCAAACACCAAACAGAGCAGCATGTTATGCTGCTTTAATAAACAAATTGATGTTTTTGTTTTATCAAAATAAGGAAGATCCCTTTTATTTTCAATAAACATCTACCAGCATGAGGCTGATCAGTTGTATTTTAAGAGTCGGAGCAAACAGGGAATAGAGCAACGATCTACGAGTATAAGGCGCAATATAAAGTTACCAATAAAAAGCTCAGTCACAACTAATATTAAATATATGCAAGATTTCAGCTAAAAGCTACTCCTTACGCATCAGTTAGATTAAATAACCAATTGTGCTCGATGATGTTTCACCTGGAGGCCTCGACTAATTTTACAAAACCTTAAAAAAAGTCCTATTAATTATTTTGTTCTTTATGTGCGTCCTGTGT